ATGCCTTTCAAGGAAATATGTCAAGTTACAGGGGTAACTGGGTAAAGTTAATTGCCAGAGTCTGCGGGAGATCAGATTAGATGATCTAATGATACATTCTGGCCTTGAAATCTCTATTTTAAAACTCATAGGTAATGTAAGTCTCTCATTTCATTTTTAGGAGTCTTTACCTCTGTCCCAATATCAAATATAGTTGCCCATTTAAAAAAAATGGAGACATCTCCTATTCTCCATTCACCTTTCCTCTCCACTCATCATTCTACTTCAGTTAAAGAAATTTTGGCACTTAAAATGGGAAATACATGGAGGATATTTCAGTGTCTTTGGCTTTTTAAAATATGAAAATAAAAGGGGTATATGCAGGTAGATATACACAGTGTTGACGAGTCCATAGATTCTGCACGATGGAGTGAGCCTGTCAAAGATGCAAAGTCCTGCAGAATACTGTAATCTATCCCATACGTCTGCACTACTGTGGTAGCACTGGTTATAAAAACCAAAACCAGGAACAGGACATGCATCACTTAGATTTATTTAGATGGCTGTAGCATCTCACCTGTGTCACTACCCTCCCCTGCATAGACTCAGTGAACAATAATGGCTGCTATGTTCCCCATATTTCGCTTTGAGAACTTAATCCTATGTGGATAAATAACATGAGAGAGTCTGATGGGAACTTAATATCCTTCTTAATATAACTTAGAATTTGTAAGGCACTCATATCCTGGAAATGAAGCCAGTGCAAATATCTACATAAACGAAACATTGTAGACTCCGATAGAGATAAAATCTCTAGATTTGTAATCCATATCTGCGTTGCCATAGTTTTAGGTTAAAAATATGGCACAGGCTGATACAAAAACTTGATCCTGTTGTTCAGACTCGTGGCTTCTAAAACTCTAATGTAGGTCATAGCTGATGTTTCACAGTGGGACATCCAGTGTGTTGTATAGGGCTCTAAGTCATTCTATTCTATATCTTCTTTCTGCAACAAAGTATTACACAGATTAGCTCTTAATGGTGACTTTGTCAAACTGAGTTTAATTCTGCCATCTTTAAATGAAATTTGTCACAATGAGATATACTGGAAAATAAAGGAACACGTTAAATCAAAGGTTCTTCATATTGTATAGACACACATTAAGTAGACTGCCATGGTAACCAAAAGACAACTAAAGAAATACAAAGGTACCAGCACATAAAGCCAAGTTCCCTTTTATAATTAATTTTTATTAAACTGCACTTGAAGAGTGAGATCAATCAAATTATATTCATTACCTGTGAGTTGTCACTTCAGATATCACTGCAGAATTGGGTTGTTTTCTGACTTTCCCACTGTCCATTCTGATCTACATCTAACCAGTGTCTTATCAATCTTTCACAAATAACCTACCTGGAACTACTTAACGGCTCACACACAGAATGTGGTAAAGTTAAAACTTACTGGCACCGGGCCAGATCCACAGCTGTTGTCCATCTGTGTAGTTCCATTGTTTTGAATAATTCACAATGGCTGAAGATAAGGATTTTTAACCTTAAATTGTACAGTAGGTACCTCTGTTTAACTCTTAATGTTGTGATGTCTTTTTCACAATATTGAAAACCAGCAATTACCTATGTTTAATGAACAAAAACCATTGGCTGCTATCACATCTGCCTATGCTGGTTTCCAAGAATTGCTGCAGCTAAGCACTGTGTTTCAGAGAAACATGTTAGAACAGTGCCAGTGATCATGTAGTGCAAGTTTAAGTTAGCACAGTCGTGGGGAGTTTCTTTGGTTAAATAGAAGTGTCCACACTGGAGCATCATACAGTTTATGTATGAAAAGTATATGTATGAGAATATGGGCTTGTGCGCTAGAAAATGTTGAAGTAACACAAAATATACCTCTTTAGTTGTGACAATATAGCAAGAGACATTCTTCTAAGTGTATTTACAGTAGTGCATACTATGTGCTAGTCTTTCCAAAGACTTAAGAACGATCCCTGCTCAGAGGACCATCTAAGAATGACAAATACAGATTAGGGAAAGAGGGACAATAGATAACTGTATGTATACAAGCCAACTGAATTCAGTACAGGCAGTATGACAGAAGCGGGCCTTTAAGTCTTAAATATGAACAGAGTAGAGACCTTGAAGATGAGCTCCAGGAGGACATAATATGCATGGAAGAAGGCATGGAGGTGATTGTGAGAATCTGATAAACTGAGGAGGCTGATGGCACTGGTGGAAAGGACAGGGGAGGTTCATTGCAAAACTTAACTAGAGATGAACAGTATGTAGAGCTTTGAAGGTTCTGAGAAGTTGAAATATATCACATGATAAGTCAATGGAGGCATTCAGAGAAGTTTGTTACATGATCAGCCAGATGGGCAAAGAAGTTGGAGTTTAGCAGCAGCATTATGAACAAACTGAAGGGGGCAGAAATTGCAGAGTCAGTGATGCATGTTTGAATGAGCCGAGTAAGATTCTAACCAAAACTCCTACCTAACAAACTGTATGTGCTCCCATCCATATATGTATGCAGAGAACAAGAGTTTAGTGTCAGGCTCTTAAGTATATTTATAGAAGAAGAACAGTAAGGAGAAAATATTAATCAGTTTCGCCAACCAGATTGCCAGTATATCAAGTGAAGGGCTTTATTTTAGGTTGCAATATTTCTCTGCTGTTTACTTCATACACGTCTGTATTGGGGCAAACAGAACTCCAACAGTGGGGAAGATTGTAATATAGTTTGAAAAAATCCAGAGCACTAGAGATTCTGTTTTTACTGTTCTGTCAGTTGCAGTGATGTCTGCTGTGGGAAAGCTATTTCCCATGTTATATGTTATAATGGTCATGCTGGAGCACCATTAGAGATTGAACCTTTTAAACAAGTGGCTGAATACATGGTCAACAAATGTGGTATGTAAAGGTCTCAGTGCAAACATTAGCACTCAAAACTTTGGTACTTGGCACACTGGAAGATTGGTTCCAGTAAAAATGGCTGTGATTATAGGATGGATCATACAACTTACTGTAGAATCAGGAAAATACTATAGATATATTTCAAAAGGGAATAAGCACTTGATGAAGTGAATAAAGTCAGAACTACAGTATACAGAGCTTAATTTGAGGCCAGTTGAAACTGTATCAGCTTTCAAGGTGTGAGCAAAATAAGTACAGTTTGTCCTTACTGTGCCAAAAACCTCACTGTTGAGAAAATTGCTTATGCTGAATGGGGCTTCAGCATTTTGCAGAATGTCAAATACCTGCTTTTTGAATGTTGCATGTTGTTTATGTGAGCCAAGCCAATAGGTAGGCTATAAGTCAAGGATAGTATGTGAGAGAGACCTGTCAGCACTGTAATGCTCCAGTACCACCTCTTGTCTCTGTGACCCTAACCTACTAGTGACAATATGACTCATCGTCCAGCAGGAAGAGTTGAATGATCTCTGCCCTAAAATCGGGTAATTTTTGGAATCTGGGTTGAATTGGGTGAATAGTTTTGGCTGGAAAAAAAGGATTTTTTTTAAAGCCAAAACATTTCATTCCTGTTTTTGAAATGTTTCATCTTTGTTTCAAGGTCTTTTGGTTAGAAATTTAGTTTAACCCAAAAAACCCCCAAACCTCACCAAAAACTAAAAAAAAAATTTTTTTTAACTCAAAATGAAATCTTTGGGTTTTTTTTATTTTGGTGAAGAAAACCCAAAAACAAAATTGTTTCTGGATTTCAGGTTAGCCACCTAATCAAACCAAAAAAATCTGTTTGCTCAGTTCTATTTATAGTTTTAAAAATGTTTGTTTCAATTCTTGAATTGCATGGAGTGCATGATGTGTAAGGTTTTCAGATATTATTATAAGTCAATGACGAAAGGCAGCTTTGTAATAGAGTACCACATATTTGAGAGAGTCATTGTATAACTTAAGCAATGGTAGTTGGGAACTTTATGGTCATATAGTTTAGATTACATCTGCTACTTTTTAAGTGACTCCTGCAGACAGAGAAGGGGTAGATCTCACTTTTATTAATTTGGGAGGCACTCTGATACCATAAGTGATGAGCTATAGAAGTACCAAAGTAAACAGTTGCATTTTTTCCCCAAATGTCTTTCACTGTAACACCTTTCTTTTTATGGAAGCTTGTACTGTTTGTATTGTGTCTTGAATAATTTTCTTTTGAATTTACATCTGATAGATGAAATTTCTGTGCTTAAAGACAAACCATGATTGTTAGCTGGTTAACCTTCATAAATATATTAACTGGCAGTTTGGACACTTCAAACATTTGTATCCTTATAAAAGCATTGGAGGAGTTTCCGGACTAGCCTTTACAAACTGGCAATCAATTAACCTGAGGTTTAAAAATCTGCAGACAAACCATAGAATAAACCAGGTTCAATCACTTAGCAGTTACTATTATAAATCTTCTTTTTGCATAGGTAGTTAAACTGACAGGCAGCCTCTGCTACCACTTGTGCTTTATGTATATTTTAGTCCTAGTTCCAGTTATACCATTATACCATTTGAGAGATCACTCATACTTTTTTAAAAAAAAACTGCATTAGAAGAAGACGACTACAGTAGAATATTTAACAGTCTTCTGCATCTCTCTACTCTGGTGCAGTGCCTATTTCTGAGTCAGCAGAATGCTTCTAGGTCAAGTGTTACTCTGCATCAGAGTTGTTCGGTATATTCTTTCTTCAGAGGCTAACTGGTCTTATTACCAAGACACAATCACCTTCTCTTCTCCCCTTCCCCTTACCCCTCTGCCTTCACAGTTGTGTATGGGAAGTCTGTAGCTCACTGTAATTTAATTGTGTTTATCGAACCCCAAATAAGACTAAACTGACCTGATCTGTTTCTCTTTCACTAACTGCATTTAACTGACATGACAAGGGAATAAAATGAATGACAGTGAAATATTTGTTCTCCAGCTCTAGCTACATATTTAATGATTTTTGAAAGTTTGTTGAAATACTAGTTATACTTGCATTACCCTTTTCCCTTCACTTTTTTAGGATGGCTGTGGCTCCTCCCAGTTATTGTTTTGTTGCTTTTCCACCACGCACTAAAGATGTTGTGTTTGGAAAAAATTCTGCACGGCCTCGAGAAGAAGTACAGGAGGTGGTCTACTTTGCTGCTGCTGCTCATGATCCAGGAAGCAAAGTTGAGGTAATGGGCTTCATTGTGCTTAAAATTACAGTATAAGTGAGTGCCATTTCGAAAGGTAAAGTTGCCCCTTGTATTCCTGTCAGATTTTGTAGTCTGTATTCCCTAAACTCAAATTTATAAGGTCCAGAATGATTGAATAATGCTTCATTCTGAGCCTGTCTACCAGGACAATCCTGGTAGGAGTTGGGGAGGGCTGATGAGAAGATTCTTGGGAGTTCCCAAATGGCAACTACAGTAAAAACTGTGTAATCCGGCACTTTACCAAACGGAAAGCTCTAGAAACCAGTATTTCTGATATCTCCCAATACAAATCTTCAATAGGGTTGCCAGGCTCCCTTCCTGACTCGGTGTGGCTCCCCAGAAGCGGCAACATGTCCCGTCTGCTCCTAGGTGGAGAAACGGCCATGGAGAGTCCATGCAGTGCCCCTGCCTCACCCCACCCTGAGCACTGGCTCCACAGCTCCCAGTGGGCAGAAACTGCAGCCAATGGGAGCTGTGGGGGAGGCGCCTGCGGGTGGAGGCAGCACACAGAGATGCCTGGCTGCGCGTCCACCTAGGAGCAGCAGGGACATGTCGCCGCTTCCAGGAAGCTGCCCGAGGTGAGTGCCGCCCAGATCCAGCACCCCGAAACTCCTCTCATGCCCCAACCCCTTGCCCCGAGCCCCCGCCCCCTCCCTCTATTGGTAGGTATAACTTTTAGTTAATCGGAATTTTTGACTAACCGGCACTCCTCATTCCCCCAACATGCCGGATAACAAAGCTTTTACTGTAAATTCTTTAAATTTAAAGCTGAGGAGAATCTTTTTGCCATTTTCTGCAGTGGACATGTTGATATGTTTACAACTTAGCTGCTTGTTCTTCGGTCTGTACTACTTGCCAATACTCTTTTTTTTTTTTTTTTGGTCAAGATAAAATTTTCCTTATAAGCTTGGAATAGCAACAAATATTTATTCCTTTCAACTGACAAATACTTTCAAACATCAAAAGGAATGAGTTGGCCAGTGCTGCTCTTATCTGGCCCAGTTAACGCATGTCTAATATAAAGATGCAGCAAACCTCTAGCATTTACATACCCTGTACTAAACTACTGAACTTTGGGTCTGAGGAAACACACTTTTCCTAAACGACCAGATGCTGTTAATTGCAGTGGTGCATGGAAACGCTGCAATAAATCTGTGCTGGTTTGTAGAACATAGCACTGTTACTGTAGCATTCCTGACAGTAAAGAAAACAAAGTGTAGTTGTAAAGCTTAGTTTTAGAAATTTAAAAATGGAAAACAAGCCTTGGTAGAGTGTTATACCTTAACATAAGAACTAAGCACTGCTCATCCATCTTATTGCACTACTAAGGAATCTTTCAACAAATGTTCTTATACCATTGTGAAATATAAATGAAGACAAACAAAAGCTTATTAGGGTATTCTTCCCCTCTCCCCCCCATTTTCTTTGTGTCTTATTCATTTGATTAGATCAGCTTCAGCATAACTTATTACTGGCTGCCACCAAAACATTTTCAAACTTAATTTTTTAAATTTTATTGTCCTAGGGTGGCACTATGGCACTAAATCGTAGACCAGGACTTCATTGTACTAGGTGCTGTACAAACAACAGAACAAAAATGCTGTCTCTGAGGCGCTTACAGTCTAGCAGAGAGATTACACTATCTGTAGTCTGTACAGACTTTTCATAAAATTAGATACTAGGGCATTGGTGCAAAACAAAATATTAGGCTAATAGCCTGGGAGATTGTTATTTGGAGGTGTTGAGTTTACACTTTATTTAATACGGGGCAAGGTTTGAAGATGTCACCGCATCAAAACTGTGAAGAAACAACATTGGACTAGGGGCCACAGTAGGTTAATATCTCAACCTTTCACCTCCTGTGGGCTTAGGGTTAAACAATAATTGGTCACGAGAGAAGCTGAGTCTGCTGATGTCTCTTCCAATTTGACCACTGCAAAATTCTTCGAATTTGCCAGTTTTGAGTGTTGCGAGCACACCTCCACAGAAAAGCATGACTGTTTAGTCCATATGCACTCTTCCCAGTTCTAGCCAACACCAAATCCAAAATTACTCTGGGAAATAGCACCACTCCTTCATCACTACACCTTCTGCACTGTACATCACACAAATTTACTACAGAATTTAAACTAATATTTTTCTGATAATGTAACTCATGACGGCAGTAAGTTTTGATGTCATGTTTCCATTGTCTTCATGGAACTAAATGGGCTCTGTCTGATGGCTTTGCTACTTTATTACATTTTTCCTTCATCAGTGCAACTGTAAATTGACTTGTTGCCCTGTCTCTTAAAGCCTAGAATCATAGGGTAAAAAGGGACCACAGGGGAGAGATATTGGCGATTTACATCTACAAGAACAATTTAAACAGATTCAGCCATATAAAGATGTGCTGTCTAGGAAACGCTAATATTGGAAAGACATTACCTCTTGAAATACCCTTGTTTGATTTAACCTGGCCATTTCAAAGGCCTTTTCCAGATAACTTGATAATGCATCCCATATTCTTTTGTTCAATTGCTGTGAAATGGGTAGAAGTCTAAGTTGTGAGAAAAATTCTAGGAGTTTTGGTGCATATGAAATGTCTGCTTACTATATTTTGATAATGTTGCTGTCTTGCAATCTAGATTTCAATATTAAACTAGCAAGAACCACCTTTCCACTGCGATTTCAGGTATGCTAATTTTTTGCAATACAAATATAGTATAACAGGTATTTTGCCTTGGGTTTCTATTAGCTGAAACTTGTGCATATGTTACAGTGCAAAGAACCTGTCTAGCATGCATATTGCTGTTTCTGGTAGCAAATGCACACTTTCAGTCCTATACACAGAAGCTATGCACTGACTTAATTGGATTGGACAGGAATTCTATATATTGTCAAATTGTATCCCTAGAAGCTCACAAAACTTGGAGAGACAGTTTATAAATTCAGCTGTTTAATTCTTTTTTTTTAAAATCAGTCATGGAAGACTAAACCTACATCTCAAGCAAATTCACAGAGCTGTCAATTTCAGTAGCTGATAAAAAAAATATTAAAGAAAGCTTATGAAAACACCATGGGCTGCCTCAGAAAGCACCAGTAGATTCCATAAAATTTTCTAGAGCTGTCAGTAGTATCCTTTGCTTCTTTTTGCTATAACTTTCTCTGATATTGTTATAAAAATTTTTGCTCACCAAACGGGGCAGAGAATTCAGTGATTATCAGTTTAGTCCTAAAGGGATGTGTCAAATTTTCAGATTTGCAGTTTTATTTTTTCTAAATGATTGGTCCTTTTTTGGGACCTAGTCTCCTTCCTCCTTTGCTTCTATTTTTTTATGAACACAGTTTTTCACTGTCTTATGCTGTGGCTTTATGTCAGCTTCCCTTCTATGGTACTCAATCCATACATTTTACTTTGGAATGAAAGTATTTAATACATTACATTATATTCTTCTTGACTCCTGACTTGTTCAGATTCTGGATTTATTTTAAAGCAGTGGTTCATTTTGTGGATCACTTCATAAGTGAGATTGCCCCATGAATCTGCCTCCTATGTGGACAGGGATGATCCAGTTGATATAGTGTACTTGGACTTTCAAAAATCCTTTGATGAGGTCCCATACCAAATACCTTAAGCAAAGCAAGCAGTCGTGGGATAAGAGAGAAGGCACTTTCATGGATCAGTAACTGGTTAAAAGATAGGAAACAAAGGGTAGAAATAAATGGTCGGTTTTCACAGTGAAGAGAGGTAAACAGTGGTCTCCCAAGGATCTGTACTAGGGCCAGTGCTGTTCAACATATTAATAAATGATCTGAAAAAAGGGGGGTGAAGTAGCAAAGTTTGCAGATGATACTAAATTACTTAGAAGAGTTAAATCCAAAACAGACTGCAAAGAGTGGCAAAGGGATCTCACAACTGGGTGATTGGGCAACAAAAAGGCAGATGAAATTCAGTGTTGATAAATGCAAAATAATGCACATTGGAAAACATAATCCCAACTACACTTACAAAATAATGGGGTCTAAATTAATTATCACCACTGAAGAAAGATCTTGGAGTCATCTTGGATAGTTCTCTGAAAACATCTGCTCAGTGTGCAGTGGCAGTCCAAAAAAGCAAATGTTAAGAACCATTAGGAAAGGGATAGATAATGAGACAGAAAATACCATAATCCCACTGTATGAATCCATAATATGCCAACATCTTGAATACTGTGTGCCATTCTGGTCACCCCATCTCAGAAAAGATATTAGAATTGGAAAAAGTACACAGAAAGGCAACAAACGTGGAACATCTCACCCGATGGTATGGAACAGGTTCCATGTGAGGGGACTGGGATTGTTCAGCTTAGAAAAGAGGTGACTAAGAGTGGATATGATCATTTTAGGAAATCATGAACAGTGAGGAGATGGAAAATATGGAAATGTTACTCCTTCACATAACACAAGAACCAGGGGTCACCCAATGAAATTAATGGGCAGCAGGTTTAAAACAAAGATAACTAAGTATTTCACACAATGCATGGTCCACCTGTGGAACACGTTGCCAGGGGATGTTGTGAAGGCCAAAAGTATAACTGGGTTAAAAAAAAATTAAGTTAATGAAGGATAGGTATAGCAATGGCTATTAGCCAAGATGGTCAGGGACGCAACCCCATGCTCTGGCAGTCAGAGGTTTAGGGACACCCAGAACCTGTGACTGGATGACCGGGAATGGATTACTCGATAATCACCTTGTTCTCTTCATTCCCTCTGAAGGATCTGGCACTGGCCACTGTTGGAAGACAGGATGCTGGGCTAGATGGGCCATTGGTCTAATCCAGTATGGCCATTCTTATGATAGCTTTTTTACTGGCGGACTACAAAAGACTGTATAAGAATCACCTGAGCAATTCACCATTTAGGATGGCTCTAATAAAAATTTGATTTAAATAATTTTACTGGCTGGTTTGAGGCACCAAACCCCATAGGAAAAAAATGCATAGAATTTAATGGGG